TCTGAAAAGATGCCGAGAACCTGCTGAATAATCCACAGTCATCCATCTCTTTTATTGTTCGTTTGCTCAGGGTCTTGCAGGACATTATCAGAAACAAACTTCGATTGGTATCCACGGCTGTGAACTAAAGCCACCCTCCATCTCTCAGCTGAATGCTAGTAAATTTAGCAATAAGAGCTACCAGAGGGCAGTGTTCCACCCTCATTATGCAGCCAGGATTGAATTTTGAGTAAGAAATTGTAAGTCTCTGGAAAGTACCATGTGTTCGTCATTTGCTTTCCTTTCTGTGCTGTTGGACACTTTCTGGAGATATATCTGCTTTTCAGTTAAGAAAAGCAAGAAATAACTGTGACAACACTTTTTTAATGAGTCCAAGTTTGTTCTATGTTTAAAAAAAGTACAGAATAACAGCTGTCGTTTCCTGTGTGCCTGGTATATGCCCGGCAGTGTATAGACATGTATCTAATTGCAACAACACCCTGGTAAGGTAAGCACTATTACTATTTTCCAGGTGAGGACGTGGATCTCAGCAGGATTAAGTAACTTGCCTAATGTCGGAGGTAGGATTTGAACCCTGCTCAGTCTCGCTCCAGAGCTTTTCCTCTTCCCACACTCAGGGCTGACCTTCCCAAACTTGACCTCCAGAATGCATCCCACACGCATTTCTCTCTTTTCTCGGGTCTCATGCAGGACAGGAAAAGAGGAAACAGAACCTTGCTGAGTTCTTAAATTTTGAAACAACTTTCATCCATTGATTCTGTGAATTTAATGTAATTCTGTGAGGTTTCTGTTAGACATCAGGAGTTAAATTTCATGGTTGCGTCTTCTTCCAGCACTACGTTCCAGCCCTGGGGAGGTACCATTCAGGCTGTTTTCCTGACTGCTTGGTTAGTGCCTCACTCCCACAGTGATCTTCCTTCTACTTCCTTGTTACTCTGAAACCCGACAGACTCTCAAATCTACGTAGTGCCTTCTCCCATTAAGTATGGATTTTTGATCCACTGAGGTATAAACTAAAATAGTAAAATTCAGTCTTAATGGTCCCCCAGAGATTCCGATAGTGGACATCCTGACACACTGTCAGAGAGAGACTTAGACATCGAGAAGACCGTAACGCAATATCCGTGAGGTGTTCAGCCTGCACGGAGCACTTACCACATACAACCACTGACACATCTTTCTACCCAAGAAGTATCCATTTTCAAGGTAAAAGAGGCAGGAACTATGGATACATGCAACAGAAAAGAGAAGACGCTAAGACACAAGGATCCTCTCTAGCAAATCATTGCAGGACTTTAATATAAATAATCTCTTAATAGTTGGAAACTTTTAAAAGAGCATAAGAATATTAAAGACGTCAATAATTTTCTTTGTCTTTTTTTTTTTGTACTGGAGGTACTGGCACAAAGTGTATTTAATTTGAACACTTAGTCTCATGCGTGCTACACAGTAAGCATTTGGTAAATATTTGTTGGAAAAAATAATGAATAATTAAAACAAATCTTATTCTTTTACTAATCCAGCTCTGTTCTTTGGTTTAGTATTCACTCAACAAACATTTATTATATCCAGTTGATAAGTGCTGTAAAAGAAGCCAAGAACACAACTTTAAAACATGTACATGCTTCCTGTCCTCACATAGCTTTGCTATGTAACCATCTGTTTAACCTAGGGCAGTGCCTTCATGCTCCCTTTCTTCACATAAAATGAGAGGAATAACAGCCTTTCTGAATATCTCTGTGGAGATGTTGTGAAAATGAAGTGGGAAAATATGACTTGTAAACCGTTAAGTTGTATACTAATATATCATTGATATACTGTCAGTTAGAATGCTGGTAACAGAAATCTTCACTCAAAATGGCTTAAACCATTAAGGTAATTTGTTAGCTCAAGTAACTGAAAATGCTAGAGGTACACTGCCTTCAGATAAGCCTTGATCCAGTAGCTCAACAATGTCACCAAGAATTCAATTTCTTTCCAGCTCTTCACCTTGGCCTTTTTGGTGTCAAATTCTAAGACTTACTCCCCTTAGGGTCCCCGATGGCTTCCAGTAGCTCTCGGGGCTGGTACTCCCTCATTCCAGTCCAGAAGAGAAGAATGAGCAACCCTGCCCAGGCTTTCCAAGGGAGATCTGAAGATTCATTCTGATTGGGCACTTTAGGTCACATGCCCCCTCTGCACCAATGTCTGTGTCCAGAGGAATGAAAGGCAGTGATTGGCTTAGCCTAGACCACACACCCCACCCCTGAAGATGGAGGTGAGATCGGCTTCCCTGTAATCTCATGGATCCCCCGGTAGAAAGTGGTTGGCTGCTGTGTAGAGACTGAGGATGGAGTGGAGAGGATGATGAATATGCAACCAACAAACTGTCAGATTAGCTGATTTGAGGCAAGCGTCAGCCAATAATACAGCCCAAAACCCATTTTATGGCCCCAGGTGAACTGAAATAAAAAACTCAATATTTGGAAAAATTAGAGGCATGAATAGACATATACTTTATAAATGTATATAAAAGCTATAGTTATATACATAGTGCTCTGAAACATAAGATAATTGACAGAATCATTGACATAATACACTATTTTACTCCAAATAGTGGCCATAGAGTTTAAATGAATTTTTGACATTTAGAAAATTATTAGGAAAAAAATAGTCTGCCTTTCTGATGATAGATAATTTCAATGATTTCTTTTTTAATTTTCCTATGTAAACCTCTTCTTCAAATCACTAATTAGTCAGATATGATTATCTCTCATTTTTTAAAGGGATAAAAGGCTCTCACCTTTGACTAATCTATCTGAATAAGGCTGGGCCACCCCTAGGCCAGTCTCATACAGTGATACACCCAAAGGAAGAGAAAGTCCCAATCCTTAGAAGTTTTGAAGAGATGTAAATCTGCACTGAAGGTGTCTCAAAGGTGCTAAGGAAGACCTCACAGAGCAACACACAGAAAAACTTCCAACAATCCTTTGTACTCAACCATCCCTCAGCCCCACATGGTCATGAGACAAACGGGGTTCCCCACCTCGTGTGCTTCTGGTATCAGGGCCATATCCACAGCCAGGAGAGTTCCGCAGAAAGGAATTATAAAGAACCTGTTCCACAGGTGAGACTTATAGCCATTATATTCACCACACACTTAGAGTATTTTGGTTTAGGGTGAGGGGACCCACCTTACTAGGTCATCAGAGAGAACATGAAGACGTAGATGGGCTTAATAAACAGAGCTGGCAATGGCATCATAATTTATTGAGCTCGGAGAATGTCAGTTCCCTGCAAATGAACTGAGATCCTGTCTCTTAGGACCCAAAACGGACATTTCAAGGAGGGTCCAAAAGGGGTCCTAAGTTTCTAAACGGAAAAATAGCACTCTGCCACTACTGGAGGGAACAGGCTATTGGGATTATGGTGCCAACTATCAAGGCTACTGTGCTGCTGACGCTAAGCCACCACACTAACACTGGTGAGTGGTTTCCACACTGCGCTCTGGAGAGCCTTGGGTGTTCCTTGCAGCCTCCTCACAGGCCACTGTGAAAGAGAAGGGGAGTAGACCTCTGGAGTCTCCACGGCCGCTTCAGCCAAAGTGCTTCACGCTATCTCTGTTACATCTCGAACTTCTGTGTAAGGTTTTATTTAAAGGCTTCATTTTCAAGATGGCGGCCACAGGGTGTGTCTTCACTTACCCTTTGAGGGGCAAGGTGATTCAGGGGAGTTGCCCTCACCCTCCCTGACGGGCATCGTCTGTCCTGTCTGCCATCTGAGATGGGACAGGAGAGATGACCTGTCAGATAGACGACCACAGGGAAGGGGCCAGATACCTCCTCCTTCAGCCTCCCCAGGCCAAGCACTCACTGGGAACGGGTCCTTTATGGGGCCTCACACATGCACAGGGGAAGAAGGGGCTTGGGCATCCTCCCTGGAAAGTACCTCATTGCCTCACTCTCCTCCCCGTTCTCTCCATCTCCCTTGGAGTCTTCTCTCTCTCCAGCTCCCCTTAAACTCTTTTAAATTCCAGTAAAATAAACTTAACATAAAATTTCCATTTTAACCATTTAAAATTTTTGAATTTTTAAATTGTGGTAAAATACACATAACATAAAATTTGCCATCTTACCCATTTTTAAGTGTACAGTCAGGGGTATTAAGTGTATTCACATTGTTGTGCAACCATCATTACTGTGCATCTCCAGAACTTTGTCACCATCCCAGACTGAAACTCTGTGCCCATTAAACAGTAACCCCCATTTCCCCCTCCTCCCCCAGGCCCTGGCAACCACCATTTTACTTTCTGTCTCCATGAATCTGACTAGTCTAGGTACCTCACCTTAGTGGAATCATACAGTATTCGACTTTCTGCATCTGGCTTATTTCAATTAACGTATGTTTTCAAGGCTCATCTATGTTGTAGCATGTGTCAGAATTTCCTTCCTTTTTAAGGCTGGACGATATTTCATTGTATGGATATACCACATTTTGTTTATCCATTTATCATCAATGGACATTTAGGTTGTTTCCACCTTTTGGCTATTGTGGACAATGCTGCTATGAACATGGGTGTACAGATATTTGTTTGAGTTCCTCCTTTCAATTATTTCATGTATATGCCCAGAAGTGGAATTGCAGGATCACATGGTCATTCTATGTTTAATATTTTGAGAAACTGCTATACTGTTTCCCACAGTGGCTGTACCATCTTCCATTCCCGCCAGCAAGTTATTTTCCCACACTTGTTATTTTCTGGTTTATTGAAGGTTTTTCTTTTTTTTTGTTTTTTATAATAGCTACTCTAATGGGTGTGAAGTGACAGCACATTGTGGTTTTGATTTGCATTTCCCTGGTTATTAGTGAATTAAACACTTTTTCTTGTGCATGTTGGCGTTGGTACGTCATTTGGAGAAATGTCTATTGTAGTCCTTTGCCCATTTTTTATTCAAGTTGCTTGTTTTTTTGTTGTTGAGTTGTAAGTGTTCTTTATATATTCTGAATGTTAGTCCCTTACCAGATAGGTGATTTGCAAATATTTTCTCTCCCTCCGTGGGTTGCCTTTTCATTCTGTTGATTGGGTCCTTTGAGGCACATGAAACCCTTTCCTTAAGACTTCCCACTGGCATCCAGCCCTTCTCTCAGGCTCCCCTGCACCCCCCATGGGGTTAGCTGGTGTTGGGGGTTTCCTTGGCCCTGTATCCTGCTGCCTCCCCGGGTGGGCTCCATCTTGGCAGTGGTGGGGAATGGTGGGTGTTCCAGCTCCCTTGGATTTCAGCCTGCCCTCCTCCCCGCACCGAGCCGCAGTGCTGCCCCAGGCTGTCTCCTAACGCACCTACCTGAAGCTGACGACAACATCCTTCCTTGAGGATTTGCTAACAGCTTTGTAAAAATATGGAAAGGGCTTGTGAGCTTATTTCAGAGACAATTTTTTTTTTAAGAAAAAGCAACCTACATTTTTTAAAATCTAGGAGATGTAACAATTCCTCGGCCGCAGCCTGAAGGAAAGGGCTCTGATGAAGAGTGATTGGCAGCAAGTGAACAAGATAAAAGGGCAAGTCTCTCTGCTGAAGCCTAGGAGGGCAGACAGTGGGGTCTGCGCAGGCCCCCCGAGTCAGGGAACACACCTGTGGGCCCCAATCCAGCCCCCACCCACTCTGGGAAGCCTCTGGGGGGTCCAAGCTGGTCGTTGTCCTGTGTTGGGCGAGGCCACCTGATGCAGAGGGGAGCACAGCAGAGCAAGGAAGCAGACCGCTGTCCGGGTTCAGCTCAGCTGCTGGGAGTCAGGCCATAACTTCCCGCCTCGTGCCTCAGTTTCCTATAGAGAAAATCAAATCAATAATTGTTACAAAATTCTAAAATCTTACTTTTTTGTTATGTGATACAATTTTCGCCATGCTTCGTGTGCATTTATCCAATTTAAAAAAATACTACAGAGCAAAGCACTTTGAAAGGAACAAAATGCTTAACATATGTACGGAATTCTTTTCTTGCTTTGAAAACTGCTCTGGGTGGTTCTGCTATTGTTTGGTTAAGAGAATTATACCATTTGGAGACATGGTCCCTTATCTTGTGTAGACTGAAAGGCAATTAAACAATTTTTCATGTCAGAATCTGAGGTAAGAGAAGGCTGCTTCAAAGGGTCCACTTGACACAGTGAAAGGCAGTTGAGTAGAAACAGAGAGCAGTACATACCCACTCCATATGGCCCGAAGCAAGAATTTCAAACTCATCTGGGGGAGCAGGAGACAGAAATAAAAACATTAGCTCTTTTGCTCTGATTTCTCTCAGTCACTTTCCGAATAGCCTTTGGACGCCATCCATTCCTTTAAACAGAAAGCAACTCAGAGCCTCCGAGGATGTCTTTTACTCTGTGTGTAGGGACTGTTCAGTCATGAATCAATGTCTTTTTCCAAGAGAAAGGTGCCAGCAGCAAAAGTCGGTCATAAAAAGGACGTTAAACTTTAGTATTCTCTTCATTGTCCCCTCACCCACCCCACAGCCCGGCAGCCAGGCAGCCTGGACTCCAGCATCCCTGGCAGAATATAAAGTTAATAGCAAATATGTTTCCACGTAAACCAACGCCACCCCCACTACCACCACCACACCCTCCACTCCCACCACCACACCCTCCACTCCCACCATCGCCCATGCAATCCACCCCAAAGCCCAGTGTCTCCCTCAGCCTCTTGCTTTTCATCCCTGCCTGCTATTGCGCTCCAGTGCCCAGCGGGTAGAAACCTTCCCCGGACTTGCCCTGTTGATATGAGTGGGCCTGTCCTCCACTCACATGTGTGGTCTCTATACAGCCTGGCCCCTCGTGGAGCAGCCAAATAAACAGTCCTACAAACAAAGGGAATTTCAAAAGAACGCCAATGTTTTATTCATGTCCCCCCAAATCAAAGGGGATCCATAGACACAGTCCACAACATGCTCTACGGAAGTGTCCTCTGTACCTTTCCAGCCTGCGCCACAGTGCCTCACTCCACGGCTCCACCCTAAACTTGTGCAAACGCCCAGCCCCCGCCTCTTTTCTCACCCTCTCCCTGCACTCAGCTCCCGCCAGTTTCAACCACTGCAGCTCGACAAGTGTCTGCCCAGCGGGTTTCTTGCTTTTTCCAGGAGGCATGGGCAGCAATCGGACTTGGCTGTGACCTGGGCGGCTGGCAGGCTGAGTGGGCGGAGGCTGAGAACGCAGGTCCCGCACAAGTGATTGTATGAGCCTTAAGTTCCTGTAGTTCCTGGGCCTCCTCCAAGCCATCAAGCTAGGAGTAGTGACAACTTCAAAGTCTGAGTTACCACCCAGACGTCTGGGTGGCATGGCAGCACAGAGCAAAGCTTGGTTTGACAGATCTGGAGAACATTAAAGAAAGTTCTCCTTACTGCCTCCTCACCTCCCACTGTAGCCCGTCCCTGTGCTGCCGTGAAATCTGCTTTTACCAGGGCCAAAGTGGTGACATGGAAGCTTCTGCCAACGGTGAGTTTGTTGTAAGCCCACTGCACGGTCATGCCTCCTTCAGAGCATCATAGAGTCCCAGCGCCGGGTGCAGCTCTGCCCAGAGAACTGGGACGCACCGTCGTGCTCACTTCTGAAATCTTTCTCGTCACATCTTCAGGAAAGTAAAGCGGATGGAACTGAAGAGGGCTGGGGGCAGAGTTGGGACGTCTTTAACTAAATTTAACCTTGGGTTCCAAGGACAGATGTTGCCATTTGAATGAGCATTTGGTGTGCCCAGTAAGCCTTGGTGTAAGACGTGGCTTTTAGCATGAATCATCTCCCTGCTGGGAAGGAGGTTAGAAGTCCAGAAACAAGGATATTGCAGAACCGGACTGTGTGGTTCACTAAACCACAGGAGAAGGGGTGGAGAAGCAGCCGGTGTCCTGCCCAAAGGCCGCCAAGCATTATTTCTACTTGGCTATCCAGAGTCCAAGTGAAATAAAATGAGAAGGTTAAGATCTAAGTGAAAATTAACGGAGGGAAACTGTGCCATTTGGACTTTCTGAGATGTGCTTGCCACAGGAAAATGCAAACCACCTTAGCTATCTCTCCACAAACAGAGCCGAAGAAGGAATGGACACTAATAAGGATAAACATAAAGAAAAAAATGGTGATTGTTGGCATAGAATGGCAAGGAAAGTTGGTGGGATGCCCTCCCTTGGGGATCCTTGGACAAGATAGACGTATGGGTCAGGTGCAGATGTGTGTGGAAACGGACAAACTCCTTTCCCCGGGACTGTGATTCGGTACTGTCTGTAACCCCTAGTTCTCGAGGCGCCATGGTCTGCGTGAGTCATTCTAGGAGTGCAGGATGCAGTAACCACGCTAGTGCAAACCCACTGGCTCCGAGCCCCCACCCGGAGAACCGTGGGTGCTCTGACTGCCTTTCTCCTGGCAGAGTCTCCTAGGTCATGTCCTCTGCTGGTGATTAATAAAGATTCCTTGTCTCTTCGCAGCCTGTGACTTAATGGGCTTAATTTGCCACTACTTCTTTTGTTTTTTTTGAGGAAGATTAGCCCTGAGCTAACTGCTGCCAATCCTCCTCTTCTCTCTGAGGAAGACTGGCCCTGAGCTAACATCCGTGCCCATCTTCCTCTACTTTATATGTGGGACGCCTACCACAGTACGGCATGCCAAGCGGTGCCATGTCCACACCCGGGATCCAAACCGGCAAACCCCGGGTTGCCGAAGTGGAACGTGCGTACTTAACGCTGCACCGTGGGGCCGGCCCCAGCACTTTCCTTTCTCTTCTTTATATTTTCAGTCTTTTTAGTTTTTCCTTTCCCCTCTGCCTACGAGTAGAACTCATTGGATGTGAACCTCTCGTTTGAACTACTGCTCATGCCTGATTTCAATTCTGGTATTTTTGGTGAATTCTTTTCTAAAGTGCGATAAGAAAGAAGCATACAGGAAGATTGAAAGTCTTGCTGTATTTGGCATTTGCGAGAAACAGACCTACCCTATTGCTGGATTCAAATGCTGGCTTCTCCACTTATGAGCTGTGCAATCTTGTGCAAGTTACTTAACCTGTCTGTGCCTATAAAATGGGAATAATAATAGTCCCTACCTCTTGGGGTTGTTATGAGGACCGAGTCCTCACAGAACAGAGCATGGCGATATTACTCAATATCTTAGCTTTCGTTATTGTTCAGACCGCATTTCCTATTTCTTGAGCCTTTATTCACATTTTGAATTGCATTGTAACTAAAAGAAAACTGAGCGCCATCAGCCCATGTAATTCAGTGAGGCCTAATGTCCACCTACACATCAGGCACAGGAGGGATTTCTGCTGGAGAATGGTTGCCTGGATGACCCAGTGGGCGCTTGACGAGACTGGAGGACAACAGTCAGGGTTGGTGACTGCAATGCAGTGAAAAGTCCCGTTAAATCTGAAGAGCAGAGTGAGCTGCCTCCACCCTCTCACCTTGAGATCAGAGGGTCGAGGTGCTGGGTCTCTGCACATCTGTGTCCTCACCTGTAGAATAGGAACAATGGTAGTACCTACCTCACTAAAGTAAGATCAAATGAGACAACATATATAGAGCATTTAGCATAGTGTCTAGTGTATAAAAAGTACATATAAAAAGGCATAGATTTGTTGTGTTCATAGCACCTTTGCTGGAACACGGGGCATTTGCTGTCCAGAGAAGTATGTTGGGTGTCCTAGGGAAGGTGCCCTCATATTTCTTTCAACTGTGCAGAAACTTGTGGTGAGCTCCATCGGGGGAAATTTGACAACAAACTGAGAATACGGGGCACCCTCTTTTTGTTAGAAACATCTCTCCTCTCTCTGTGAGCATCCAGTGCAGGAAGGCCAGCAGCAACACCTGCAAGAATGATCAGGTCGATACGGATACAAGAGTGACCATTAGCATCAGAAGTAGTGGCGGGGCCGGCCCGTTGGCGCAGCAGTTAAGTGCGCACGTCCGGCTTCGGTGGCCCCGGGGTTCTGGGGACTCCAGGCTTTGGGCTTGGTCCCTCCTCTCAGCTCAGCAGTGGACATGATTCCACCCAGAAACGTAACAAAATGGAAGGAGGCAAATGCCCCAAAAGGATACAGATGCAGCTCTGCAGGAGCTTAGGTAACAAAAAGGTCCCCAACCCGCCCTTTCTTCACACAAGAGGCACTGCTGAGTTAGGTCTCGAAGAATCACTGGGATCTCCATGGATGGAGACGGGAAAGACGGACAGGAGCATTGTAAGTAGAGAAAAGACTTCGTGGTGGAAGTGTCCTGGGGTCCAGAAATAGTAAGTTACTGAGAACAGATGAACCAAGGAGGAAGTAATGGATGATTTCAGGAAGAAATCACCCTGGGTTTTTGTGAGATTTAGTAATATTTCCAGCACACATGGGGCCTTCAAAAGCCCTTGGTAGTGGCCTTGGGCACAGAAGTGTTCCATCTGTCTTGGGGGACCCAACCGACCTGTTTGCCAGGATGTCCTGGTTTACACCTGCTGTCCGGGCGTTCCATCTGGTTGGCACGGCCATCCGCTCTCAAGTGGGTCCTTGCATGGACAGTAAACTTCGCGGCTGCCTTGTGTGTTTCTGGCAAATTGAAAGAACCAACAGGTAGGGCCCAACACTTAGGTACTGAAGGTGCTTAAGAAGTCGTGCTTTTAAAAGCCTGTATCCCAATGCTAGCCAAGCGTTATACAGGAGATGGAGTCTGACATAAGCGCCCAATTGCAACCACAGTCAGTTGTTTGAAAAGTTTGAAAGTCAGAGTCAGTTGTTCTTCCCCAGCCCCGCTATTTGGTCTGGGCCCAATTTTATAAAAAGTAACCCCAGCCAATATTATCGCAAAGATGTGCAGGAAAAGCCAGCCCTTTGATAACTAAATAGTCCCGTGTGTATCTGCAGCCAGTGGAGGGCAAGGAAAAAGCAACACGGGTTCAAAACACACACTGACACAAACTGATAAAGCTGGTTTTTATCCAGGAACACTTTGAGTTCAAAACGGCTGAATTCAAAGAAGTTAATTAAAAACACATAGAGTTGTCACAGAGTTTAAAAATCAAATACAAAGTACTTTGAAACAATAAGCTTACTAACTCTGTGGCAGACAAGTCAGCTAGTTTTTGCAGAAGAGCCAGCCTATTTGTATATGGGCTAACATACTCTCAGGAAAGAAAGAAAATTGCAAAGTGTTGGCACAACAGAGAGCACAAAAAGGAGGAGGCAGTTCTAACCTGCCTTTCAACTTGGACGTGGAATCTGTCTGCGGGGCTCCCTCTGGGGCCATGTGCAGGCTCTGTCTTCCAGTGAAGTCTTACTTAGTTGATTGATGCTGTGTTGCTGCTGGGTTTTAGCACAATGTGAAGTTGAAAGGCCTGATGTTAACGCATCTTAAACTTCAAGACTCGCCATGTGCACTCCCACTTGAATCTGACTGTGCTGAGCAGTGCGTGTTACTTGATTGGAAGTCTCACGTGTGTGTTCGTTTCTCCCATTACCCAATGCACATGGTCTCCTCTGAGCATTGCAAATGGGGAACCCACATTTTCTCTGGCTCTCTTGTGATGCTTCTGCTGCTTGCTTATTGGAAAATGGATAAACGATGATAAAAATTATTAACGAGCTCTCCCATTTATTATTAATAACCTTGAACTAATTTACACTATGAGTAGGCAACAAAGAATTAGGACCTTCCCTAATTTTAGATTCCAGATTCCAAACGTTTCATAACTAAAATATGACTAGCTGCATGCAATTGCAAGGGACGTGCAGTGTGAATTACGCACACAGGGAGAGGTTGTTTTAAAAAGTTCCTGCTGGCCAAGCCACATTTCTCACTGCCGCTTTTAACCCTGTCAAAGAAAACCATTCCAGATAGAGAGGCTGGAGAGACTTCACGGTACATTTCAATATGAAAGCTTAAAATTTGCACTCCAGAGTAGGTAAAATCTGATTATGTTCATTTACTCTGTCAGGGGCATCACACTCAGCTATATTTTTAAAGAAAGAAAAACACGTCACTTCCTTTCTACATGTATCAGCTAAATGAACACTTGGAAGTCGATCTGAGGCGTCAACAAAATAAATGCCACATGACAGAAATAAGATCATTTACATGAAAATATGGAGCTGCACTCTTATAAGTGAGTATCTCATTATCCTAATAAATATTATGAAATGTATACACAAAAGATGATCTCATAAATAAAATCTAACATTTTCAGATGCTGAGGGGACCTCACTTTAGGGGAGAAAAAAGATCTTCAAACATGTGTGCTTTTTTCCTAGATAATTCCTGCACAGTTAAAATGTGGTAAATTGAAACAATGGCATAAAATACTCGAACAGAAATCCCTAAGGGAAAGCAAGAAACCATTTACTCTAATTAGTCTGGTAGCTATTTTCACCATCTAGGAATGCTGAAGACGTGAGCTTATTCCAAACACATACCACGTTTATTCAGAAGCCAGCAGATAGAGCACCTGCATGCAAGGTTCAATTCCAAACTATCAAACAAAATACATAAACGTCCACTGAACTCTGACCGTGTGCCAGGCACGTAGAGATGCTGGGGATATAAATGAGCAATGCTCTAGAAGGTTGAGTGGTGGTGCCCAAAAAGATACGTCCACACCCTAATGTGCAAACTGTGAATGTGACCTCATCTGGAAAAGGGGTCTTTGCAGATGTAATTAAGTCAAGGATCTTTAAATGAGATCATCCTGGGTTAGCCAGGTGGTCCCTAAATCCACTGACAAGTGTCTTTATAAGAGGCACACGGAAGAGAGGCACACAGGGAGAAGGAGAAAGCCATGTAAAGATGGAGGCAGAGGTTGGAATGAGGCAGCCACAAGTCAAGGAACGTCTGGAGCCACCAGAAGTTGGAAGAAACCAGAAAGGATTTTCCTCTAGAGCGTGGCCCTGCCACACCTTCACTTCAGACGTCTGGCTCTAGAACCATGAGAGAACAAATTCTGTTGTTTTAAGCCACCAAGAGTCTGGTAACTTGTTCCAGCAGCCCTAGGAACCTAACACAGATACCACCCCAACATCCAGGAGCTTAAGGACAATATGCAGGGCAGGGCAAAGTCAGACAAAATTTACCTTATAAGGAACTTCTCCACAACACAGAAAACAATAAGCAGAAAATTAGAGAAATTTAATGTATGTGTGATTTTTTAAAAGTTCAGGTTAGATGAGGACTCCCACGAGCATCCTTGGAGCCACCAACCCCAAGCGCGGGAGTCCCGGCTGTCTGGGGTTTGGCACGCAGCCTTGGCACTCTGACTTTCCCAACGGAGCTGGACTCGTCTTCACCAAAGGCCCTGACAAGCAGGCTTGAGCAGGGGCGCTTTCCTTTCACAGCTTCTTTGTACACAGCTCGTGTGGAAGAAGGGACCTGAATGCTAATGTGCATGCTGCACTAGCCTCCATTGGGCCTCGGCTACACCTGGGGCGGGTTCAGCTATACCGGGTGTGTCTGGCACACAGGTGAAATGGACAAGGCTGAAGATGGAAGCAGTGCTAAGAAAGTTCTTGGAGAAAATTCCTCCCTAAGCAGGAATCTTACCCGGAGGCCCAGCATCAGCTTCCAAGGCCCATAAACTGCGGAGTGTGTCTGTGAAACGCTGCCTGTGCGCATGTGCTTTTCTGAGCGAGGCTTCAGGGCTTTTATTGCCTTTTCCGAAGGCTCTGTGATCCCCCCCCCCCCACCCCGAAAAGTTAAGAAACCGTGTCCTAAGAATCCAGAGGAAGACTCAGTGAGCACAATCCATTAGGGAAGCCTCAAGTGTCAGAAAAAGCAGGCATTCTGGGTACAGAGATGCGGCCTTTCCTCAAGGGGGCTCCTGGAGCCCGGGACGAGGCTAGTCTGAGGGAAAAGGGGAAGACCATGAGCAACACGGAAAGGCTGGGACATGGAGGCCCCAGCGGGACTGACACAGCACAGAAGGCCGTTCTCCACCCCTCGGCCCACCCAGCATCTTCAGGAGCCCCCCATGAAGAATGGCTGCACCCCCGGGGCACAGCCCACATGGCAGCCCTGGAGACACCCAGGAATCTGGAGTGGAGCTTCAGGAGGCTGAATTCCTGCCACAGCCTGGAGAGGACAACGGGGTCAGCAGAACTCAGGTTGCAATGCTTCCCTAACTCGTTTCCACCCATGGACCCAGGAACATCCGGTAGGACACAGGATTTCCACCCCTAAAACACTATATAAATACATTTACGTCTATCAATCAATTCTCCTCACCCTGGTGACAAATTTTAGTACTTAGTCCCATTTGAGAAAATTCCCTGGATTCCTGCTCAGATTCTTGCGACCAAAACGGTAAGGAGAACAAGGCTCGCTCCCTCACGTGCTCTGAGGGCCGGGCTTTCCCCCAGCGTCGGGGTGGCGGAGGGCTCTGTGCACGTGGGGAGCACGGGGGACATAAGAACACACACGGTGCTGCCAGCCTGATGGGACGGTGTTTCAGGCCCCTGGCAGACGGGGCCGTGGGCGATGGCAGGCGAGCAGGGCCGCCCACCCTCTGGAGCTGTTGCCGCTGGCGTCTCTGCTCCAGACGACAACAGTTTACCCAGAGCCTTTTCACCGAAGTAAACAAGAAAATCAGATCATTTCTTAAAATACTCGCAAAAAAAAAAAAAGACAAATGCATAGTTGTTTTTTACAGTCTCAACAGAGGCAGGTAAAGACTAGAATAGAGAGAGAGAATTTTTTTTGGTAAAATGGAAAAGGAGCTTAGGGAGCTCCTATTTTGTGATTTGTTGGAAAAAAAAAAACAAAAAAGCTAAAGCCTCAGCCCTAGTCTCTATTGAAAAAGAGAAAAAATCAGAAAAGAGGAACTTGTCGAGAGAGGAGTGCAGGCTGGCTCTCGGCCCCTCCGCCGTCACCATGGAGACTCCTGAAGGTTCCCGGAATGACTCACGCGATTCGCTGGCGAGGCCTTTGAAATGGAAGCAGCGCCACAGCACAAAGACCAACTTCGCTTGCAGCCCTTGAAGCAGGAGCCTTGACTCCTGACCCGCGGGGATGTGCAAGTTGGGCTGCGCGCTGCGGGGAACCCCTTTCCTTCTTCCAGGCCCTTGCTGTTTAGGGCACTTGCTCGCAAGAGCAAAGGTCAAAAAACGCTTTTGCCTTGAATGGAACTTTTCCACCACTACTGGAGAGATATTGATGTAAAACCCGAGAGTGGGAACGATTGAAAAGGGAGGCTGTGGTACCTGATACCCAGAGGCTGGGGAGCCTGGTGGGGGGCCCCCAGATGCTAGCAAGGGTGGTTTTCAGAAGCACTGAGCTGGGAAAAGGTGTGTGGGAGCCATGGGCCAAGACTTCTCTTGGGCAATTGAGACTTGTTGTCCTGGCTGCCCCTCTGGCTTCAAGAAACTTGCTCAGGTTAGCTTCCTTCAGATCTCAGGAATGCAACTCCCTGGTAAAGCGGCCTTGGGTTTCACATCCACCTTAGCAAGGCTGTAAACACAGAGAGCCACAGGAAGAAGCTCGAAGTAAGCAGTCTTCTCCACCCGGAGTTTTATCTGCTGAATGCCTCTAAAATCATCAGGGGCAATGAGTGGTGCTGAGAAAAGCA